AGATCTGTACTTCTGAAACAAATAATGCAACATATGTTAAGAAAAAAGAAAAAGAAGAAGATAGCAGGAGGGGAAGAATGAAGGGGATTAAGTCAGAGGGGGAGACGAACCATGAGAGACGATGGACTCTGAAAAACAAACTGAGGGTTCTAGAGGGGAGGAGGGTAGGGGGATGGGTTAGCCTGGTGATGGGTATTAAAGAGGGCACGTTCTGCATGGAGCACTGGGTGTTATGCACAAACAATGAATCATGGAACACTACATCAAAAACTAATGATGTAATATATGGTGATTAACATAACAATAAAAAAATTTTTTAAAATGGTGAATTTTATATCATATGAATTTTAAAAACATTACCTTAATACTACCTGTGGAAAAGACACTAAAGGCTAAAATTTTAAAAAAACTAGAGTACAGAAACTTTTTCAAGGATCATCATTCTTTTCAGCCCTATTTTTTTTAATTTTTTAATTGTTATGTTAATCACCATACATTACATAATTTGTTTTGGTGTAGTGTTCCATGATTCATTGTTTGTTCATAACACCCAGTGCTCCACGCAGAACGTGCCCTCCTCAATACCCACCACCAGGCTAACCCATCCCCCCTCCCTCCTCCCCTCCAGAAACCTCAGTTTGTTTTTCAGAGTCCATCATCTCTCCTGGTTCGTCTCAGCCCTATTTTGTATCCTCTACGTTCATCCATCATATTCTCTCCCACACTATATGAAGAATCTTAATTTGGGGTGAAAAAAATTTCAGATCAAGAGGACAGAAGGAAGACCTCTTTCTTCAGTCCTTCTTCCACCAAAGGACAGACAGCCATGATACCTGTTTTTTCACCTACATCATATTCAAAAGATGGGTACCAGTCCCATCATTAGAATTCTACTCTCCAGAAAGGCAATCTGCAAGTTGATGTAGGTTATGGTATGGTTATGGTAATGAGGACATTACCAATCAAGTAGAAATATTTATTGAGCACTTCCATGTGCACTCCACTACTACAGATGAGTAGAGGAGGGGCCTACAAACAAGAACATTGACCATGTCCTCCACATGTCTATGGATTTGCTGTAACTGTGAAGGTATCAAGAACCAATGTGAATGAGATGGTGGGGCCATCATTCAATCAATGGCAATCAGAATGGTCTGAGAAGGTCTCATTGCTGAGATGGAGAAGGAGGCTGCTGGGTTGACAGAATGGCAACCAAACTGCTAGGTCTGCTGGGAACAGATTATTGTCCAATACCTAAACTAAGTCCTACAGAATCATGCTTAGAAGGCTACAGTTTTCAGGCGATATCATAAAGTCTCACTTTTTGAGTTTGATAATCCAGATGACATGCTAAGAAGCTTCCTGATAATCACATAAGGGTTGGATAAAGCACCAGACAGAAGCCTTGCCCAGCACCCACTCATCAATAATGCAGTCACACACCACAATGAATAAACAAACACATATGTAACCCAAATCCCCTTCTACCTCCCACAAAATCAGTGTGTGCTCAAGAGGTTCCTATGAAGATATGGGGAAATCTGGGCCATATTTTACTAAATAACTATCCCCAATAGACCCCCTAGAAGATCCATTTACTCTTTTAATCAATTAGGATAGCATTTTGTTTTCCTAGAGTTTTTTATAGCGCACTTAGGGGAGGAAGCATTATTCATGTAGTACAAGAGTGACCCAGAGCAGCCTACAAAACCCATGGCCATGGAAAAACCATTAACTGACCACAATATCCCTTCCAAGTAAGCTCAGATGTGACCTCAGACTACTTCTCAATTGGCTCTCCAGCATCACCACCACTAAATCAGGATTGGAATTATAAAATGAGATCCATTTGCTATCCTGGAAGAGAATGTAGCCAGCAGACTTGTAAGAAAGCCCCTTCTTTAAGCCCTTAAGTTATTTTTAAACCTTTGGCACTTGGATGATTTTAAGCTTTTGTGAACACAAGCCTCCTGGCGTAAAGACCAACTCCAAGTATTTTAAGTTTACTGGACCTGGCATTACTTGGGACAGTTCTACCAATATTCCTAAGGTTGGTAGACAACAGATATAAATGTATCAGGTGTGTCATAAGCATAACATTTCAATAACTTCTCAAAATCCACAGCATGGACTGTTATTTCTTAAGAGAAATAAGTGACGTTGGGAGAGGGAATGGCCAAATGGGGTGGGGATGGGGAACAGGTAGAGGGGACAAAATGTCAGGAGAGCAGAAGGGACTGATCTGCCAAAAACCAAAGGCTAGGCAATGAGGGAAAGGGAGAGAGCACTACATTCATCAATCAGGGCTTTCCTGCACCTACTTTGGATGCTTGTAGGCCATGAGGCACCTCTCATACTTTCCCACCATGCTCCAGGCCATGACCAGGCCATCAGTACTTCCTGAGAGGAGATGCCACTGGTCAAAGCACAGACACTTCACGGCTCCCTCATGGCCGCTGAGAGTCTGCAAGAGAAAGTGGCTCTGTTTTCACCCCATCTTCAACACAGATTGTGAGTCCTCCAAGGACTCCAAAGCTGGAGGCTTCTTTAGATGAACTGCAAAGCCGCACTCCGCCAACCCATGACTACCACTCACTTGGTATTTACTGAGCCAACTTTACTTTTGTTCTAAGAAGGCCAGTGGTGTCCATGCCACCCTCTCTCCAGAGCTCTCTCCCTCTCTCTCCCCAGTGAAGGAAGAATGTGGTCAGGGGGAGGCCTTGCTCCTGCTGGGTCTGTGGCTGGGGCACGCCTCATCTTCCTGGAGTACAGGGAGGGCCAGAATTCACCATCCTCTGCTGCCACGAGGCGTAGGGGCAGGCGTTCCATCCCCAGCTCCTTGCCAAGACCAGAGGACACCTGGGCCGTCACTGCACCTTTAACTGCTGGTCAGACCATGGTGACTAGATTGATGGGAAACAATCCACCAGCCAGGCCAGCAGCTTCTCACTTTGCCCCCGTGCTCCTGGCACAAATGTATCTCACCACTGCCCACTAGGGCCAGGGGGTTTCAAATCCAGCAACATTTTTTCATGTGAACATTCGATCACTTTCAAGACAGTGGCTGTTCTGTTTTCATCAGAGAGTTAAGGAGAAAAACCACTGTGACTTTGTCCATTCCCTTACCCCATGCAAGAGTCAGGGTAAAATATTCTGGAAAAGGAAAAGTCACTTTACTTCTGCAGCTGTGAAAAGACCCTGAGCCCATATATCATGCTGAGTCAGAATGTAGGCTTCTACCACCACCTCCGTGACAGTGTGGGTCACATGATCCCTGACCCTCCACTGACTCTGAATGGCCCTTTTTGGGGGGGAAGCGAGGAAGGGCTTCCCCATCAGCTTTTCAGGACCATCCTTTTGGTGACCAGAAGTTGGTAGCTTTAGGGTGGTCTGGGGAGCTCCATGGGGGAGACCATAAGTCCATCACCGCCAGGGCCCCATTCCCCCAACAGCCCACCACCCCCTCACCTTTACCAACTGGGCCATGACAATGTGCCACACTTTGACCAAGCCCCGCTCACAGCTGCTCACGATGTAGGTGTCATTGATCCTGGTGGCCAAGATGGGGTCTTTGTGTTTAAATGTCTTCAGACACTTCCCTGTCTCTACATCCCACTCTGAAAGGGAAGGGGGAAGAGAAGAGGCATGAAGGCAAGTTATGGTGGAGTTCTATACTCCATCACAGAAGTCAAGCCCATCAAGTCAGACCCTAGAAGGCCGTCACTGGCCCAGCATCCCTGTAGGCTTGCCAACAGCTCTGAGCTCCTGACCATGGGCCCCTGGGAGAGCCACCAACCATAGACCTTGGCTCTAACCCTAGAACTTAGTGTTGGTTAGCCAGCTCACCTCTAATAAGCTTCCTTCTCGAGCCTGCAAAATACTTGCTCTTGAGTGGATTTCAAGAAAATCATGGCATGTGTTCCATGGCCTCGTTCTTTCCAGATGCTATTCTCCTGACTCACCCCTTCTATCTCCAAAAGAAAAGAAAGCTGTCTATCCTTATTTACATTTTAAAATATCTCTGGATCTGACTTTTGGATTTTTCTAACCGACAGACTGCCAGAGCTGGGGGCAGGCTTAATGCTGCTTCCACATAGATGGTGCTAGGGCAACGGCCTAGCACACTGTAAGGGTTGGGAAGATATGAACGTAGGTGGATAGGTGGGAGCACAGAGCTTAAAGGAAAAAACTGAAAGGAGGCACCACAAATTCAGGGATGAGACCATTAAAGTCAGCCTCGTCGGCCCCAAAATACCTCTCAGGCAACAGAATGTATAACCTAAGACAAAATAATAACCACACCTGATACTTACATATAGCACGCACAATGAGCCGGACACCATTGAGAGTTCCTGACATATACTAACTCATCTTCACAAGACAGTTGCCATCATTATTCCCCACTACACAGATGAGGAAACAGGCATAGAGAAGTCCAGTAACCTGCTCAAGATCACGCAGATGGTAAGCAGATTGAGCCAGGATTCGAACCCAGGGAGTCTGGATCCAGAAGCCATGCTCCTAACCGCATACACTAGATTAACTCTAACTATGTAAGTATGCTTTTCTTCGTGTATTTTTTATCCATACATTGGCCCTTTAATCTAATTAGAAAGGAGAAAGCTGAGGGGCACCTGGCTGGCTCAGTAGGTAGAGTGTCTGACTTCCGCTCAGGTAGTGGTCTCAGGGTCCTGGGATCGAGCCCTGTGTTGGGCTCCCTGCTCAATGGGGAGTCTGCTTGTCCCTCTTTGTCTGCCTGTCCCCCTGCTTGTGTTCTCTCTGTCTCTCTCTCAAATAAATGAACAAAATCTTCAAAAAAAAAAAACTTGAACAAGTTGGGGGTTACATTTCAGGTCTCTAACTGTCTCTTCTTCCTTCTATTGGTAATCGAGGCAGGTGGGAGGAGCCCAGGGAAAGCAAGCAGGCTGGGGGCTGGGGCTAGCATTAGGGTAAAGAGAGAGACCTTTTGAAATTCTTTTTCGTCGTGTAACGTTTGGGGAATTAATTTTGACCTTTTAAATATTGCTTTAAAATGTGTATCTTGAGAGGTGCCTGGGTGGCTCAGTTGGTTAAGCGTCTGCCTTCAGCTCAGGTCATGATCCCAGGGTCCTGGGATCGAGCCCCCCGACCCGGCTCTCTGCTCAGCGAGGAGCCCGCTTCTCCATCTGCCCCTCTCCCACTCATGCCCTCTCTCTCTCAAATAAATAAATAAAATCTTTTAAAAAAAAAATATGTATCTTGATTACTAGGAGTTTTGGGTGCCCCATTAAGTTTTACACCTGAGGTGAGAGCCTACCTCCCCTTGCCCTAGCTCTTGCCCTGCCATTGGCCCTGCAAGACCCTCTCAAGTTTGGAGGCCTTGTCCGGCCCTTCCAGCTCCAAACTCTCATCCTTTCCTCCTTTCTGCTCTCCTCCTCAAAGCAGTCATGGCAAAGAGACTTTTAGTCAGGTCAGAGAGGGCAAAGAGGTAGGGGGCAAGGTTTCTTAAGCAGGTCTGAGGATTTGCATATGCAACAACACTCCATTCTTGCTTTCCCTCACCTTTTTCCTCCGCCTACCCCTAACATGCTGTGGTTTCCTGGGTCCCTTGCTTCTCTTATCTTTTGCCTCTTTCCTCATGCTTTGCAGGGGAAATCTCATCCACACCTGGAGCTTCCACCATTCATTATAATTGATAACCACCAAATCGATGTATCTGGAGCCCCAGACCTGTTATGTGGTAAACTCACATGTAAACTCACACCTGCATCTGCCTCCTGCAATCTTCCCCTGGCTGTCCTCAGGAATCCCATACCCGATGTATTAGCTTTTTATTGCCCCACAAATATATTATCTGGCATAAGCACCTCACAAGGCTAAAATCAAGGTGTCAGCACATCGTGTTCCTTCATGGAGATTCTGGGGCTGGAGGGATCCATTTCCTTGCCTGTTCCACCTTCTAAGGGCCACCCATGTTCCTTGGCTCATGACCCCCTTCCTCCACCTTCAAAGCCAGCAACGTTGCATATTTCTGACCATTCTTCCATCGTCACGTCTCCTTTAGATCACAGACAAGAAAATTTCTGTTTTTAAGGATCTATGTGATTACCCATAAGCCCACACTGACAACCCAGGATAATCTCCCCATTTTAAGGTCCCCAACTTAATCACATCTGCAAAGTCCCTTTTGCCACGCAAGGTAACACGGTCGCAGGTTCCAGGGATTTTAGGGCATGAACACGTTTGAGTGGCCATTACTCTGCCTACCACACTCAGCATGTCCAGCATTGAAGCCATCACCTCTTCCTTCGTTCCTCACCCTATCTTATTCTTCACCTTCGTCCTTACTTCCACTAATGGCACTTCCACACAGCCAGGGGCCTGAGTTTAAAAGTCTGGCCCCATTATCTGACCTTCCATCTTTCTCACATTTCATATCCACCTGGCCGTGAAGCCCTGCCAATCGTCGCTATGGAAATCTCCCTTCAATCTGTGCCACCTCATGTGAACTCTTATCTACCTGACTTTCTTCAGGTTTGCCTGTTCTCGGATATTCTAAAGACACCACAGCGGTTCTCTAGACGGAGTAGTGTCTTCACCTTTCTCCTGTCTCCACAGAGTTTCCCAACTCCAAATCTTCCTTCCACACGATCGCCAGAGTTACCTTTGTCAGATACACAATTGATCCTGTCAATCCGCAGTTCACAGTGCATTTATAGCCTCCTGCATTCTATAGGATAAAGTTCAATTTCCTACCATGATGCAGAAGGCCCTTGGTAATCTGGCCCCAAGCAAACTAACCAGCCTTATGTCCAACACCACATGCTGCAGTCCAGCCATGCCCAAGCAAGGGGAAATTCCCTAAAGACATCATTTTCTTCAGCCTTCTGTGAATTTGCCTGTGCTGTGCTTCTACTTATAACGTCCTACATTCTCCCTCTGCTTGTAGAACTAGTCATCCTCAAGAACACACTCAAACAGCACCCTGTCTGTGGTACTTTCCCTGTTACTCGTGTTTCCATGGTCCCTTAGAATTCCACATTGGGATGCTTGGGTGGCTCAGTCGGTTAAGTGTCTGACTTTGGCTCAGGTCCTGATATCAGGGTCCACACTCAGCAGGGAGTCTGCTTGTCCCTCTCCCTCTCTCTCTGCCCCTCCCCCTGCTCGTGCTTTCTCTCTCTCTAATAAATTAAAATCTTAAAAAAAAAAAAAAAAGAATTCCACATGTTGACTAGGAGCACATGATTTAGAGTCAGACAGCCCTGGGTTTAAATCCCCAATCCACCACTCAGCAGTTCTGATTTAGGGCAAGGTGTTTTTCTCTCTCAGTTTTGGATTTCTCATCTGCATCCACACCATAGGCTTCTTGTGAGGGTTAAATTAATAAATAACATGTGTAAGGTACCTATGTCAGTCACAAAAGTATACTTAATAAATGGCAGCCATTATTATTCATATATTTATTATATCCTCCATTATATATTTATGTATCTATCTCCATTAAAAGATTATGAGCCTCTTGAGATAAAAAGCCATATTGAAAGGGCCATCTCATATTTATATTTTTCCTTAGCACCTAGCACAGTGTCTAGGATATTGTAGGTATTCCACAAATAGTTCTTACCTGAATGGATCAATAGATATATGGATGGATGGATGGATGGATGGATGGATGGATGGATGGATGGGTGGGTGGATGGATGGATGGGTGCATGGATGGATAAAAGAATGTCTTCCTACAGAAATAAGCAAAACAGTCTTTTGACAATTCATGGATTTGGGAAACTTCAGAGAAAGTTTAAGGTATTTCTTTCTCACCTTTCACCTGGCAATCTCTTGCTCCAGATACGAGCCTGTTCTTATATAAATCCATGCAAGTGATTGTCCCCTGGTGGCCATTGAAGATTCGTATACAAGCCCCACTTTTCAGATCCCAGGATCTGCAGGAATCAGGCCAAAAAAATGTTTTTGAGATTTTTCTGAGGACCCAAAATGATCATACTGTATACAACTTCCCTTAGATCAACACTCTGTTGGAAGGCAGCAAAGTTTCATGGTCAAGCTTAGAGTCAGAGGCCTGGATTTGAATCCCAGGTGCAGCACCTATTAGGTGTAACTTTGGGGAAGTTACTTAATTTCTGTGTAAGCTTCATTTCCTCAATGGTAGAATAGAAATGATAACAACGATAGTTACACCTCATAGGGTTTTTGTAAAGAATTAAATACACAAATGCAATGACCGTCAACCAGGAGTGATTTCCACCCATAGGGGACATTCAGCAATGTCTGGAGACATTTTTGGTTGTCCCAAGTGGGGAGAGAGATGCTACTGGTATCTAGTGTGTAGAGTCGCAGGATACTGCTAAACATCCTCCAATGCACAGGACACCCTCCACACAAAGTACTTTACAGTCCCAAATTGAGAAACCCTGCATTAATTCATGTAACATTGGAACAATGTTCAACATGTAGAAAATGCTTAATAAATGTTGGTTGGTATTAGGTGGAAGTTCCTAGAATCACCACCAGGCTTAAAATCCATGGATTCAATGGTAGAGCTGATCTTCAAACAAGAACAACAGAACCATTTACTTCAGTCACTTAGATCCAAAATATTTTATGTGTATTTCTAAGACAAATCTAAGAGATACAGGGGAACATGTATGAGTCACACCATTTTTTAATAAGCAAATTTGCCAGAGCTCTTTCAACTATCACTGATACAGACTTCCACTTCAGCCAGTTTGCTTTTGTGACGGGACAAAGTGTAATATTAAGATAGTGGGTATCTAAGATAGATAGATAGAGCCAGGTGGCCTGAGGTACAATCTCCGGTCCACACTTACTAGCTGTATGATCTTGGATAAGTTAATGAACCACTCTGTATCCTAGTTTCCTCATGTGTAATTCGGGGATAATAATGGTAGTTACCTCATAGAGTTATTATGAGACTTGGCACATAATAAATGATTAACAAATGTTTCTTTTTTTTTCTTTGAATGTGCTATGCTTTTTCTTCTAATATTCCCAAAGGTCCTGTGGCCTTAGCTGTTTTTTCAGAGCCTACTACGAACCCACAGTTCATTTAAAGATATGCCAGTGAGGAGACGAACCATGAGAGACGATGGACTCTGAGAAACAGAGAACTCTGGGAAACCTAGGGTTCTAGAGGGGAGAGGGGTGGGAGGATGGGTTAGCCTGGTGATGGGTATTAAAGAGAGCACGTTCTGCATGGAGCACTGGGTGTTATTTTTTTTTTTTTAAGATTTTATTTATTTATTTGACAGAGAGAGACACAGCAGAGAGAGGGAACACAAGCAGGGGGAGTGGGAGAGGGAGAAGCAGGCTTCCCGCCGAACAGGGAGCCCGATGTGGGGCTCGATCCCAGGACCCCGGGATCATGACCTGAGCCAAAGGCAGACGCTCAACCAGCTGAGCCACCCAGGCGCCCCGGAGCACTGGGTGTTATGCACAAACAATGAATCATGGAACACTACATCAAAAACTAATGATGTACTTGCCATTTGCAACGACGTGGATGGAACTGGAGGGTGTTATGCTGAGTGAAATAAGTCAATCAGAGAAAGACATGTATCACATGACCTCACTGATATGAGGAATTCTTAATCTCAGGAAACAAACTGA